CAGCACCACATCCACAGGATGTGAAGGTATACCTGTAATCCTTGTACGTGGGAGGTAATGGCATGAGGATCTGGAGTTCAAGGACATCTGAGGCTACATAGTGAATTTGAGGCTAGCCTGGGCTAAAATAAAATCCATATAAGTAAATTTACCATCATAGGCATTTACCGTGTGCTTATTCAGCGTTATTAAGCTTACTCTCCATGTCTCCAGCTTTCCCCACTGTTTGTACAGAACTCACCCTAGTGGGATACCCACTGTACATTACACAGCCAAGACCCAGGCCTCCCTTCAAGCTCCTAGCCACTACTAGCCTGCTGTCTGTCTGCATCTGAACATTGCCTCTGGAAAGGATCAAAGTTGTTTTTTGACTCTGGTTTCCATCACACAGAATGATGCTTTGTCCTGGCTCTAGCTGAGGAAAACTTCACTGCGTGGATATGGCATCTGTTTATCTGTCCATCTGCTGATGTGCACCTGAGTTGTTTTATCCTCTGCCATTGGGAACATTCATGTCCGCACTTGAGTTTGAACACATGTGTTCAGTTCAGCAGAGTCCAGGTGCTTGGCCTCAGTGAGGGAACAAGACACTTGTCCAGAGTGGCTGCACTATTCACCAGCATAAGTGTTCCAATTCTTCCATGTTCTTGACAACACTTGGGATTCTCCAATTTTAAACTATGACCATCCTGATAGAAGCAAACTAGCATCTCATGTGTCTGAAAAACATCTTTATTGAGATGTTGTAGCATGTGTGGTCCAGCAGTGTATAGCATATTCACAGCTGTATGTACCATCCACATGGATATTTTAGAACATTTTATCACACCCAAAGAAAATCTTGTATGTCTTATCCATCACTCTTCGCTTTTGTCATGGTTGACTAGTTTTTTTGTTTTCTTTTGTTTTTGTCCAACACAATAGAAGCTAGAGTCATCTGGGAAGGGGAACCTCAGTTGAGAAATGCCTCCATGTAGACAGACTTTCTTTGGATTGTCAGCTCCTAAACAATGATGCAGATACTAATTATGAAAGCTTGGCCTTAGCTTAGGCTTGTTCCTAACTAGCTCTTAAAACTTAAATTAAGCCATTTATATTACTCTATGTCTACCACTACATTCTGCAACATTACCTCTCTTTCATACTGTATGTTCAACTTCCTCACTAGTGAATCCCTGCCTCTCTCTGATTCTCCCCTACCCCCAATTCCTTTCTCTTCCCAGAAGTCCTGCTTATCCTTTCCTGCCTAGCTATTGGCTGTTCAGCTCTTTATTACACCAGTCAGAAGGTGGCTTGGCAGAGACACATCTTCACAGTGTACAAAAATATTATCCCAGATCACATGGGACATGGGAAAGTCTGTGGGGATTTTCCTTTCTTTCTTTCAGCCCTACCAGTATCTTTAAAGCTGAGTGCTTTAAAGCTGAGTGCTTTAAAGCTGAGTGCAGTGGGCGATTGTGGTGCACGCCCTTAATCCCTGCAGAGGCAGGTGGATCTCTATGAGTTCGAGACCAGTCTGGTTTACAGGGCGAGTTCCAGGACAGCCAGGGCTGTTACACAAAGAAAACCTGTTTCTTTGGGGTTCGGGAGAGGAAGTTGGGTGTTGACTGAGGAATTCTTAGTGTATTCTGCATTCAAACTTTTATTGGTTCTTTGATATTCTTCTATTCCAAGGGTCTTTTTCAGTTTCTCAACAGTTTTTCCCTATATCTTTATTTTATTTTGTTTTTGAGGAAGGGTCTCACTGAGTTGCTCAAGACGGCCTAGAACAGTTGTCACAAGGCTAATAGGGTACAATACACTGTGGGCACTCTTGAGATCCAGCTGGGCCCTGCCCTAAATTCATCCATATTATGTAAAACAATGGCTTTTCAGACTTCCATTTTACAAGCAGTTTGAGCTCCATTTCGAAAGGAGGATGGTTGTGTATCTACTGGCACAGTCCTTGAGATACTCACTGAAGAATGGCACTCTGGGAGGAGACAGGGCCACTGCATGAGTCTATTGGGTAAAGTAGTGCTGTTGAGCACATTAAGGCCGTGTCAGGGAAACCAGGCCCTAGAACTTACTGAGCACACAAGACAAAGGTATAACTGTCACTGGGGCCTGGAAACAGCCCTTACCGGCCTGTCACCTGGCCTCCTGATGTGTACATCAAAGGGCAGGCAGGCAGCTGCAGCTCAGCTCAAGCCCCACTGCTGACACAGCCTGCTCTGGTTTTTGTCTTGCTGTTTGTCCTTCTGTGTCTTCTGTCCTCCCATCTTTAGTGACTCGGTGCTCAGTCCGGCCCTGTCACACTTAACAGCTGGCCTCGGCTCTACAGCTCAGCTCTGGCCTTGCAGCTAGACTCCACAATAACAGCTGCAGGCCTTCTCCGAGCTGCCAGCTGGTTTGATATCTCACCCACACACAGTCAATAGGCTATCAGTTTCCCAGCTTTGGCATCTCAGGCCTTGCCTCTTTAACCCTTTTGTATCCATTCTATAACCTATGTAAATGCATGCACACACACACACACACATTTACTATGTGTATTATATAATATGAAAGTTAATATTAATAATTAAGCCTGGAATAAAAGCCTGTGTTTGCCTCATTAAATACTATCAAGGAGCGTGCGGTGGGATGGGTAATCTGACAAACTGCTCCACTGAAATTGCAAGCATGTAAATTTATTGCAATTCAGTAAGTTCTGACATTGTGGGAAGACACAAATGCATTTATTCTTTATGTTTCTGACACTGTATGCTCATGACCGGGACCCCCAAAAGATGGTTCCCTCTGTTACCTCCTATCTTGAGATTATCACCATTCTACATGTTTCTCATAGAGTCCCCAGAGGGTCAGTCTTCCCAACAGGTGGACATTGCCACTATCTGTGTGGCTTTGGGGATGGGCACTCCCTGGGACCAGATGGCCACTTCCATTGATGCCGGGTTCTTCTGAACCGTCTGCCTTTTCCTTCTGCCTCTTGGATGTGACCCCTCCCTCACCCCTCTCCATTCCTCTATTTATGGTGCGTTACACCCTGCAAATGATTAGCTCTCAGAGCATATAGGGTTTCAGGCTCCTGCAGGGGGTTGGAGGCCTGGGACCACACTCACACCAGGGCAGCTGTACTGCATGCAGCCCTACCTGGCTTCTGGAGCTCAAGCTTTGTTGTTTCTAGGTTGTTGCTCCAGGCTCAGAGGAACTGGATGCTGTGTTCAACTGGTCTTGTCTCCAGGAAAATCTTGTTGGCTTTTCCAGCTACTCTGTAAAGGAAAAGGACAGCGATGTGACCCAGCCAACACAGAAACTACATAACACACTACACAACCACACACTTAACCACACAACCACTGGGTAGAGACCTTCCCTCCCTAAGAGATGAAGTTCGTGGTGCTCAACTCCTCTGGAAGAAATGTCAAACATGAGCCTTTTCTATCAAACACTATAAAACTTGTATTTAGGACAAAGAATTAAGATATTTTTATCTTCCCCACCTTGTTAGACTTTTATGTGAATGTTCTAATCCTCTCCACCCAGGAAAACCTTTGTTTACCCAAAGGCCCACTGATCTATGATGGCTTGGAGCAGGCCTGCTCTTTCCCTTCTATCTTCATTTCCCATGATCCAGATCTTTACAGACTAGCCAGATGAGTAAGATCCGACCTCAGCAGAGGTGGGGGTGGGGTGGGGGGGTGGGGGGTGGGGGTGGGGGAGGGTGAAAAGGCGCAGTTCCTACCTATCTCTGTGTGTTCACTCTGTCCCAGTGTACCTGTGTACTGCTGTCTGAGAGTGAAGTCTGTCTTGTCCAGACACTCCAGTTGGAATGGTGGTCTTTTTCTTTGCAACCGTGCACTTCTAACATCCACAGATGTGCTCAACCATGACAATTCAAGAGAGCAATGATATGAACTTCATCTAGGATAGAGCAGCTGGCAAAGTTCAGCAGAGTAATCTGTGGGCTCTGGGGTTGATAGCATTTGGTTCCTCTGCAGGCTGGGGGCTGAGGAAGCAAACAGATGTTTTCCTGGGGACCAATGGACAAACCAGAAGTTTAAGAGTCCCATTTTGCTCATACCATGTGACCCCCTTGGACGTGCTGCTTTCCCCCCAGGATGGCTATCCTGCCAGATCCACTGCTGGGCAAGCTCTTTGAGGCAGTTCACATCACCTAGCCCTGGCTGTTCCCCAACTCCTTCACAATGCCCCAAGACCTCACTTGTGCAGCCAGCCACCCACCGGTCTTCAGTCTTCACAACCGGACGATGATACCAGATGAACTCAGGATAGGCCTGTGGAGTCACTCTGCTCCTGAGTCCCTTACCCTTGCTGTGGTCACCAGGCGGTCTCCTGCCTCCACACTTGATATCCCATCAAAACACTGCTGGCTCTTCAGCGTCAGAAAAAGTCCAAGCTGATTTGGAAGTTTCAGGGGAGGAAAAATGCGTTTATTTGATTGCGCCCCTCGGGGGAATAAAGCGGACTGTTCCATAGAACCCATTCTGAGGTTTTCTTGGAACTGAACGGGGTCAGCCAAGTGGGCAGGGCAGGTCATCACATTACCCAAAGGGCTGGCTCCCCCAAACCATTGCTGTTTTCCTGCCTCTCTCTTTGAACTCCAAAAACAACCCTGGAGGGTTCGAGAAACCCTGCTACCTTTAGGACCTGGAGGATCCGAGTGGGGGGTCACCCTTCCCGCTCCCCAGCAAAGTCGACACCCGGAACTGCTCTAATAGGAACCAGCCGACTGAGCTCCGGGAGGGCTCTGGGCTGGGTGTAGGATTCCTCCAGACCTCAGTGGGACCTCAGAGGCGTGCGCCCTGCTGAGGACGTAGGGGGTGGGGTGGTGATGGGTGTGGGAGGGGCAAACCTGACCTCCCCGATCTGAGCTTGCCCCCACACCCAAGGGCCGGGATCCAGCCTTCTCCTGCCCAGTCCAAAGTAGACTTCGCTGTGTGCTCGTCCTTCCCCAGAGAGGGCGGACTTGGGGCTCCCCAGCTCCTTCCCTTCATCGGGGTCCCCCCACAGCTCCAGGCTCTTCGGTCCACCTCTTCCTCGTTCTGGGCTCTGGGAACAGGGACAACTGGAGTGGCAGAGCAGAACTCAGCATAGACAGCTGAAAGGGTCGCACGTGAAGCACGTGGAAGCGGTCCCCAAACGGGGACCAGAGTAGCATCTCAGTTCTGTTCCCAAAGAACGACCGGGGCGTCCTGGGGTGGGGGTTGGCGTGCGGCCGGAGAAGTGGGAGGGGACAGGTTGAGGGGTGGTCTCCGAGGAGGAGCCAGGCTGGACTGTATTGTTCCGCGCTCCGCTTCTCGGGTTCTTCAGCCGGCTTCAGACCCTGAGGGTGCACCACGAGGCAGAGGTGGACCCCCTGCACCCCAAGACGGTTCAGAGGAGGGGAGGACTCACCTGGAGCTCAGCATCCGAGCTGCAGGAGCGGAGGATACCAGTGGAGAGTCAGAGTCCCTGTTCCCCGCCACACCACGAGCCTGTGCAGCAGTGGGGCGCCAGGACCCTCCCCCCAACGATGGCCGCAGTCCGTCTGGGCCCTGCCAGGACCACAAGCGGACGCTGGAGCATTGCTCTCTAGCCGGCAACAGGGCCTCTTTACCCCCACCCTGAGATGGGGAGCAGCGGGTCGGCTTTGAGGGTCTGTGCAGACCACCGCGGAGGCATCAATTGGCTGAGTCTGAGCCCCGACGGGCAGCGCCTGCTGACGGGCAGCGAGGACGGCACGGCCCGGCTCTGGAGCACCGTGGACGGCCAGTGCTGCGCGCTCCTGCAAGGTAGACGGGTGCGCGTGCTCGCGACCCTTTCAGCCTCTTCATGCTCACCTGCCCTGCACCGGGGACCTCACTCTTCCCGGCCTGCTGTCGTCTTCTGGAAGAGCAAAGCTCTAGTTCCTTCGCATCGGGGAGCTCACCCAACCCTTGAGCTCTTGGTGGGGCACGGTGACCAGTCCGAGGGTGCTTGGGTGTGGGTGACCAAGGGGCGCGCATCCTAATGCAAGATCGTTTTGTCAACCTGTCCCACTCAGTCTTTATCATGACAACAGGTTTTGTTTGGGGTGGGGGATGTATTTCAATTTTTTCTTTTTAAATTGTATTTAAATTGAGAAATATTTTACATACCGATCCCAGTTCCCTCCCATCCTCCCATGCCCCCGCCCCATTACCCCAGGGAGGAATCATCAAAATCTATGACAACAATTTTTAACAAAAAGAAGTCGTGCCCATACCCTAAAGAATATATCCTGCCTCACTCCTTGACCTGGTAACCTTTGGCCGACATTTGTACTTGCGGGCCATTGTAACAATAGAAGTTGTTGAGAATCCAGGCCGCTGTGGTTATCTTCACACTGTGACACTATCCCAGACACAGAGCTGGTATCGCCTTGTTAGGGACTTGTTCAGGGCTGAGGGTCATCCTTGAGATTTGAACTTCTCCCTCAAGTGCCCCTCCCCCAGCTCTTTTTTGTTTCATCTCAGGCATGGCCAGAAGAAAGGGGAGAATTGATTCAAATTTCTGGGAAGTGGGGTCGTCCATCTTCCATATCTCAAATGAAACAAGGTACATCATGCACAGAAGTGTACTGTGTCTCAGGTACCCGTGGATTCATACACTACTCACGTTCTGGGCAGCCTTGTGTTCTCTGGGTGCTCCCCACGCTGCTCTGTGGAGTCCCTCAGGCCTGCTGTTGGCCTCTGCAGTAGGTGCAGACCTGAGGCATGCCAAGCTTTTTGCACAAGGTATGCTCTTTATCTGTAACTTTTCCACCATGATCAGCAAATGCTGGGTGGCCTGGCTCAAGCCCTTCCAGCAAGATAGAATGTTAGCCTTAAAACTGCTTCATTCCTACACTATCAGTATTAAGTGAAAACAGTATAAGGTAGCTAGTTCATGGCCCCAAAGGGAGGAATGTAGGATTGACAGGCACTTGGGAGCTGGTGTGAAGATGGGGAATTGGCTACAAACTGGTCCACATTCCTCCCCACACAGCCAGCATTCACTGACAGCCCCACATAGGAGAGCTGGTAGCCTAAGTAAAACATGTATTGTTTCCCAAAGAAAAGACTGGGGTTTACAGCAGAGCCCATTCTTAGGCCCGGCTCCAAGCACTCCCAGAGCAGAACCTTGGAACTGGCTTTTTGTTTGATTTTGACTTCTTTCTTTCTTTCTTTCTTTGTTTCTTTCTTCCTTCCTTCCTTTTTCTTTTCTTTTTTTACCCCCTTTGTGGTTTTTTTGTTGTTGGTGGTTTTGTTTTTTCAAGACAGGGTTCTCTATGTAGCCCTGGCTGTCCAGAACTCGCTCTGTAGACCAGGCTGGCCTGGAACTCAGACCCCCAGGTCTGAGTGTTGGAATTAAGTCTGCACTACTAATACCTGGCTGGCTTTAATTGGCTTTGATTTTGGTTTCTTTCTCTTTTCTTTTTTGTTTGTTTTTCTTTTTCTTTTTTTTTTTTTTTTTTTTTTTTTTTTTTTTTGGTTTTTTGGTTTCTCTGTATTGCTTTGGAGCCTGACCTGGAACTCACTCTGTAGACCAGGCTGGCTTCGAGCTCACAAGAGATCTGCCTGCCTCTGCCTCCTGAGTGCGGGGACTAAAGGTGTGTGCCACCAACACCCAGCTCTGTTTGTTTTTTAAGACAGGGTTTCTGTGTAACAGCCCTGGATGTCCTGGAACTCACTTGGTTGACCAGGCTAGCTTCGAACTTGCAGAGATCTGCCTGCCTCTGCCTCCGAAGTGCTGAGATTTTGGTTTCTTAAGGCAGGGAGTGTTTCATGTCACCCTCAGGTTTCAAACTGTTGTCTTAGTTAGGGTTATTGTTGTGGTAATGGAACAACACAATCAAAAGCAAGCTGGGGAGGAAAGGAATTACTAGACTTACATTTCTACAGCTCTGTTTATCACTGGAGGAAGTCAGGACAGGGACACAAGCATGGCAGGAACCTGGAGGTGGGAGCTGAGGCCATTAGGAGTGCTGCTGACTGGCTTGCTCTCCATGGCTTGTTCAGCCTGCTTTTGTACAGAGCATAGGATCACCAGCTCAGGGGTGGCACCCCACTATAGGCTAGGCCCTCCCCTATCAATCGTTAACTTAGGAACCCTGTAGGCTTGCATACACTCTGATCTTTTGGAGGCATTTTCTTAATTGAGGTTCCCTCCTCTCAGATGACCAGCTAGTGTCAAATTGACATAAAACCAGCTAGCATACTCACCTTGTAACTTTGAATTCCTGACCCTCCTGTCTCCACTTCCCAAATACCTGGAATTGAGTCCCTGCCCCATGCCAGGCGTGGCTGGTGTTTCCCATTGCTGTTTTACCAGGCTCTTGGTGGCTGTAGTGCACAGCTAGCCTGCAGAGGGCTTGTGCCTGCGACTCAAGCGGGACTCCTGTTTATCAGGGAGGGTTTTCTTTGGAGAGTCTGGGCTTCTCAGGCTGGTTCTGGCCCAGTGGCTTGTTTGGCGGCAGCTCTGGAGTCTTGCCAAGTTTCCTGGGCCCACCCTTGAACCAACTGACTGGCACGTAGCATTCTTCACACCAGCTTTAGTGGCCCTGGCTGGGTCGTTCGTCCGTCGCGATATCTAACACAGCTTTCCATTGAGGGATGCCTGACCTCACCCAGTAGAGAGTAGGCTCACTGGAGGAGAAACTGTTGGAGCTTACCCACCAAGGCTGTTCTTGCCAGGGTTAAGACTCTAGCATTCAAAACTGTGCCAGGACAAAAGGGATAAAGTTTTTTTTTTTTTTTTTTTTTTTTTTTTTTTTCCTGCAATAAGATCCTGATTATGACTGAGTTTGCATGAGTCAATGTGGTTATTTGTATCTTTCTGTTTGTATCCCTTCCCCCAGGAAAAACAAGGTCTCCCCCGACACTTCCTCCTGAGATATTAGTAGGATTGTTTACACGCACACACTTTTGTGTATGGCACACATGAGTGCAAGTGTATGCACCTGGATATGGAGGCTAGAGATTAACTTTAGGTGTTCCTGGGGGACTGCCTGCTTTCCATGGGGGCCTGGGAGGGTTAGTCTGTCACTGGCCCGGAACTTGCCAAGTAAGCTAGGCTAACTCTAAGGGATCTACCATTTCCACGTCTCTAGCTCTAGGATTATAAGCACCTATCACCATGCCTGGCTTTTCACATGAGTGCTGGGGTTCAAACCCAGGTCCTCATGCAAGCCCTTGGCTGTCTTCATAGACCCCACCCTACCCTGCTCCTCTTTTTATTAGCTTTTCCAGACAGTGTCTCCTCTGGGGGGGAGAGGACGTGTTTTTTTTTTTTTTTTTTTTTTTTTTCTAAGACAGGATTTCTGTGTAGCCATGGCTGTCTTGGAACTCACAGAAATCCCCCTGCCTCTTCCTCCTGAGTATTGGCATAAAAGGCGTATGCTACCAGCGCCCCAGCTGAGACAATGTCTTTTTATTTAGCCCTAGCTGTCCTGGAACTGTGTAGACCAGGCTGGCCTGGAACTTGTGATCTTAATGTTCCCTCCTCTAGATACTGGGATTATTGGTATATGCCTCTATACCTACTTAGTAAAGAATGCTTGTTTCATACCTTATATTTTAAGGCATATGTCTATATACTTTATTATGTGGTTAAACTTCATAAACTAGAATCTACACCAGTTTATTATTGTTTTTCTCCAATTAAGTTTTACTTTATGCATTTGGGTATTTTGCGTACATGTATGTCTGTGCACCAACTATATGCTTGGTACCCAAGGAGTCCAAAAGACAGCATCAAATACTCTGGAACTGAAGTTACAGATGAGGTGAGCCGCCATGTGAATACTGGGAATTGAACCTAGGACCTCTGAAAAAACAGTTAGTGGTCTTAGCTGCAAGACCCACTGATACCAGATTAGGAATCAGAAATGGACAAAGGCAGACGTAATTATTGATACAGAATGTCTTGCGTTTTCTGGATGCTGCCTGGAGGTGAGTGTAGCCTCAGCATCCCCAAAGTGGGAGTGAACTAGAGGACTTGTTCAAGGTTGGAAGGTTGGTCCACAGCAGCCCACTGCTTTGGCTACTGTTTCTGCTCAGGGTCCTGCTGCAGGGAAATTGTACCCTGGTTGTATGGCCATTCAGAAGCAAGCTTCATCCCTAAGTACTGCCTGTGAATGCAGGTATCATTCTGCTCCTATGGAGGGCTTAAACTCTTGGGCAGTCTTAGGCTTGCAAAGGCCTTGGAACCAAGCTTATTGTTTGGACAGTCTTGGATTTGTTTCTTGGGCAGCGTGGTTGGGATTGGCAACTCTATGTGTTCAGGCTTCTCTATCAGCTCTCAGCAGCAGAGGCTCTTGGCACTGGAGGATGTTCTCTCAGAAGAGTTACAGAGCAGCATCAACAGGACTGGAATGCTCAGGCCTCCTGCTGTGGACACACACATTTGGAAGGGATGCCTTTCAGATGCAGCAGGTGACCTCTGGTGAAAAAGGCTTGATTGGCACTTATTTTGAGAAAAGGAGTGCTGGAATGGTAATGGTCTCCAGGCCTCAATCTTCCCTCTGTGGAATATCCATGTCTTTGATGACACTGGATATCTGTGTTCCCTGTTTGGTCAGGGACTTGGCCTGAAGGTTCTAGCCCACTGTGGATGCTTCACACCCTTCTTTGGCCTCAGCATACTCTGAGCCACTCACAGCTGCAAGCTCCAGAGGAGGGCACTCTCCAGGGACAGGGCCCAAGCAAAGTGTTAACTGCTAGCCTTGAGAGAGCCATGAAAAAAAGGCATATAAATAGGGGCCGGATGAGGAGATGAGGTACCATGGTTTGGTTTGGTTTTCTTGTGACTAACAACCCATTCATTTCAAATTTAGTTTTAGTCTTTTATCTCATGTGTGTGAATGTTTTGCCTGCATGTGTACCTAATGTCAGAAAAGGGTGTCAGAGCTTGTGGGGCTAAAGTTACAGTTTTGAGCAGCTGTGTGGGCACTGGAAATTGAGCACAGTCCCTTTAGAAGAGCAGCCAGTGCTCCTCACTGCTGAACTGTCTGTCCAGCCCCTAACGGGGCATAGAGGATCCTGGGAGGACCACTAACACACGCAAGTCAATATTTGCCCAGAAGGACTCCATGAAGCTGGCATCTGTTTTAGTGACAGCACTTCCGAGGCCACTGTGGGTTGAGTGGCAGGCTCCCTGTTGTCTGAAGGGTGAGGGGAAAGTTGGCAGAGGGAAGGCTGAGGGAAGGCTACAGCTGTGCTGCTGCTGAAGGAGTAGGCCCTGTCTTAAGTGGCTGATGGTGGATGACTGGACATATGGGCTGAATTCTCACACAGAAATCAGGAACCCCTGATGTGATTTTCAGTTCTGAGTGACAGCCTGCAGAGAGACCATGAGTCCTGGTGCTTTTGACATTGTCCATTGTGGCATTTCTGAGTGCCAGATGTCTGCTGAAGGGCTGAGCCAGTCAGGCTCCTGGCTCCCCTTATGTAGGTAACTTATAAGCATCTAAGAAAGCAACAATGCCAAGTGGACAGAGTGTAAATGCAGAGTCGAGCCACTGGCTTATCACTTCTCCCAAGGGAGATGCAGTTACAACAGCCCGGTGACAGCTGTGGAGAAAGTTCCACAGCCAGCCTGAGGCAGCCCTCTGTGTCAGACAGAGCCCAGGGGGACATTTCGGCCCCAGGTCTCCCACTGTGAATCTATTGGAAGTGGGAGGACTGGGGCCACCCGACAAGTGTACCTTTCTCCACAAATCACAACACCTGCTTGCACTCCAAGGATAGTGCCACCCTGTCACCAAGTGGCAGTTGGGGTACCCAGCTGCTTTATTGTGTGACCCTGGGACACTGAAAGGGAAAAAGGCCTTGTTTCATGCTCGCTGTAGTGGAGTTCCCTGAAGCCCCAGCCACTTTTCCTATGCACAGAGGGAAGAGCAGATCTTGGCAAGCCCTCAGCGCCCAAGGAGGCAAAGACCGCTGCCTCAGCAGGAGCCCCCAGAGCTGCTCCTCTGCATGCAATAACTACATCTTATCTGCATTCTTTATCCCTTCAAAAATATTTACTTTAAGCTCAGCATTTTTTGCTTATTCTGCACAATTCCAACAGCTGAAAGCCAAGGTCCCTGGAGGTGATAGGCCCAGAGCTGGCAGACACGGCTCCTCTCACCCTCGGTGGTGACCCTACGAGCCCTGCATCTGGCCCAACTGTCTTTTGGTGTCACCAGTTACAGGGTAGTGGGGTGGGGTGGGGGTTTGGGGGATGTGCAAGGGGACAGGCATGGCAGAGTCCAGGCCCTCTGCAGGCAGGCTCTGACCCAAGTGTGTTTGCAGAATGGGGAGTGAGCTATAGAGACTGGAGAGGCACTTACTTTTAGTAGAGACCCGGGTGCTGTAGGAGCTTCACTTGGCTCCGTGTCTGGCTGTAGAGGGCAGAGGGCAGGGGCTGCTAGGTCAGCCTGACTTGTAGTCAGAGGCGAGGGTGTTTTGCATTGAAAATTGCTTCTTTCAATTATCGCCACTTTTCTTCTCATCTGTGTGTCCAGCCCCTCTTCCCCTAATGTGCCATTAGCTGTCCACCGCACCTCAGCAGCGCTGACCGAGGAGCCACCGTCAGGGTGCCATGGCTCAATAGCTACACGTGGCTCTCAAGTGCTTCTTCATCGTTCAACTTGTGGTTTGCTCCTGCACTTGACCCTTTGTGTAGATGGGATGTCAGCAGCTGGACGCTGCTGGAGCAGTTGCTGTGGGCCTCGGCCAGCCTTGGCTCGCCGTCCTTAGGGGCCATGGGTTGTGGCGCCCACCCAGGGTTATTAGAGGGGCATGGGAGGTAACTCCCATACAAAGTCACTGGAGGGCCTGGAGCCCTGCCCATGCCAGTGCCCGTAGGCCTGGCACGCCTTGGCAGCCTTGCTTGGGGTTTCTCAGCTCCTAAGAGGCTTTGGGGAGAGTGAGGCAGACTGGTCTCAAGGGAAGTTTGTTGACTTTAAGAAATATTTATAAACTCTGGCAAAAATCTGGGCTGTGTTTTGCCAAACAGATTTGCCCTCAGCTTTTTCATCAACTTGTGTATTTGGGGAAACACAGTCTGCCGTTTCTTAAGGGTTTACTTAATTCTTGCATTGTTTTCAGAGCAGCCTGGCATGCACTCTCCCAGAAGACGGAGAGCTTTTATTACAATTCTGTTTCTTAGAATCCAGGAAGTCAAGCTCATCGGAGCTAAGCTTAACCCAGGACCTAAAAAAAAAAAAAAAAAAAAAAAACAAACAAACCAAAAAAAAAAAAAAAAAAAAAAAAAACCCAGTAAATCAGCTTGTCAGCTTGACCCTTCCTGAGAGACTGCTAAAATTCCTGTCTGCTTGACTCTAGCTATGAAATGGAAATTGTCAAATGAGATTAAAGATGTGGGTGTGGTGACACATGCTTTTAATCCCAGTGGTGGGAGGTAATCTCAGGAGAATCAGGAGTTCAAGGCCAGCCTGGGCTACATGAAAATGTCTCAAAATAATGAGGTCCCTGGAGAGATGCTCAAGGAATCAGAGTGCTTACTGCTCAAGTATGAGGACCTGAGTTCAGATCCCCGGAGAACATGTAAAAAGCTGAGGGTGTTTTTTTTTTTTTTTTTTTTTCAAATTACTGTGGTTAGTGCTGTGGAAGATGGAGACAGGTTGATAACTGGGGCTCATCCTCAGCCTAGGTTCAGTGAGAGATTCATGAGAACACACAGAGAGTAGGAGAACAGGCCACTTGCTCACACATGTGTGTATATATCTGATACACAGAGAGAGAGAGAGAGAGGGAGAGAGAGAGATTTAAAAGTCACATGGTGATTTACTCCTGGGACCTGAGCACCCTGAGGTTGAAGCAGAAGAATTGTGAGTTCAAGCCTAGCCTGGGCTGCAAAGTAAGGCCCCGTGTGTGGGATAGAGTAAGGGCTAGTCTCTTCCAGATTCACCTCAGATGCTCATGCTCTCCTGCTCTTCTCTCTGCTTGCACACATAGGGAGACAAGAGCTGGAACCTGGCCCGCTCACATTTCCTCTCGTTGTAGGTCATGAGAGCTATGTGACCTTCTGCCAGCTGGAGGATGAAGCTGCCTTCACCTGTAGTGCTGACTGCACCATCCGGAGGTGGGATGTGAGGACCGGGCAGTGTCTGCAGGTGTACCGAGGGCACACGTCCATCGTGAACAGGTCAGTCAAGTCTGGTGGCATGGGCCAAGAAGACAGAAATGTAGCACTGACCTTGAGCAGTGTAGTAACTGCTTGTGGCAGCAGGGGGTTTGAGCAGAGGAGCCACGGGAAAGAGGCACCATTCATATATTCGTGTGCACCCCTCCGGGAGCCACACCCCCTCACGGCCCCTCTGGGTATGGGAAAGTGTTGGAACCACAGTACCCACTGATGGGAGCAAATTCCAGAGGAGACTGCTTACATGCCACCAGTGGTAGAGCAGGGCTTGGTGAAGGAGGAGGACACAGTGTGGTATTTTCGAACTTCCTTCCATGTGGCTGCTGAAGGTCTCTTAGCGTTGATCAGGATCTGCATTTTTTCCTTGTTGAGTTTAGATTGGATTTGAGCAGTGGAAATTCGTTTGCTGGCCAGATCAACTTGATGTTATTTTTATGACACACGATAGTTACCCTGGGCTCCTAAAGTCCCAAGTAGATGCCTAGCATAGAGACCCTCGAGGTCACATTGATGGGAGGGGCCCTACTTGGGGAAGACCCAAGGGCCTTTCTGTGTGGACACAGAGGAGAGGGCTGCAGCCAGGAGGGTGTGTGTGGGCCTCCAGGCAGGCATATTGGCTACTCAAGCTAACCCTGGCTCCAGAGGCCACATCAGAGGTGGCTCAACAGTCTGAAAGTATCTGCAGGAGATTGTAGATCTAGAAGGAGAACTCAGTTCTCACAGTTCAAACTGGCCTTTCCCCAACAAGATGCCTGTCATTGGCTGGGAATGGTAACTTGTATCTGTTGTCCCAGAACTTGGGAAACTGAGATAGTGCAATTTCAAAGCCAGTCTGGGCTATAGAATGAGCTCCAGATCAGCCTGGCTTAGAGGAATCCCCACGCCTCACCCCCTCCCACCCCACACACATATACACATACAGACTGTCTTACCAAAAACAGAAACAGGCATTAATCAGAAGCCCACCTAGGTGTGTGAGTCCTCCTAGATGCCCTCAGACTGCTGACCAGAGAACTGTCACAAACTGTTCTCATTGATTTGACACCCACCCCCCACCCCCCAGAAAAGGCAACTTAAGAGAGCCAGTCTGTCATGGCTTTTTGAGGTGGGGTCTCACTCTATAGCCTGGGCTTGCCCTCAGACTCATTATGGAACCCAGGCTGGCTTTGCACTCAAGGCAATCCTCCTACCTCAGCTTCTCCCTGAAGGGCTTTCCCTATTTTAAGTGGGCCCTGTGCCCACTCTTCCCCTGTGTATCTGACTTGGATACAGTGTTACACGAGTCCATGCACCAGAGACATGGTCCTGCTGGGGTAAGGGTCAGGCCTGCAGGTTTGTCACAGAGGGAAAGAGGCTGAGGGGGAGACATGTGGACATGTGGTGTTTTGGGCTAGACCTTGGAAAGTGAGAGCAGGACAGAGCTTGGAAGCTGTGTCAGCTTCAGTGCCTGTGAGGGCCGGGTGGACGCCTTCAGCCCCTTCGCCTCTTACCCGCAGGATCCTAGTTGCAAATGACCAGCTCTTCAGCAGTTCCTATGACCGGACAGCACGTGCATGGACTGTGGACAAAGGGCAAGTGTCCAAGGAGTTCCGGGGCCACCGCAACTGTGTGCTAACGCTGGCCTACTCTGCCCCCAAGGACCTGCCCAGTGACCCCTGCTTGGAGGCCGCCATGGGTGGCGGGCTCCTAGTGACTGGCAGCACGGATGATACAGCCAAGGTGTGGCAGGTGGCCAGTGGCTGCTGCCACCAGACACTTCGGGGCCACACAGGTGCAGTGCTGTGCTTGGTGCTGGATGTTTCCAGCCACACAGCCTTCACAGGCAGCACTGATGCCACCGTCCGTGCTTGGGACATCCTGAGTGGGGAGCAGCTGCGGGTTTTCCGGGAGCACCAGGGCTCGGTCATCTGCCTGGAGGTGAGGCCTGTCCAGCTGTGGCCAGATTGCATGTCCTGTTGTGGGTGAAGGGAGAGGGGACTCAGGCTTGAAACCATTCATAGCATAGCCTCAGTCCATAGTGCTGGTCCACCAGCTCTTTCACAGGTGGAGTGGTTTGTTTTTCCAGACAGAGTTTCTCTGTGTAGTCCTGGTTCCTGAGACGTACTCTTAGGCCAGGCTGGCCTTGAACTCAGCTCCATCTGCCTCTGCCTCCTGAGTGCTGGGATTAAAGGCGTGCACCATCACGCCCAGCCCATTAAACACCATTTATTAGGCATTCCCAACCCCACACTCTTTAATTAATATTTGTTTATTTTGAGACAGGGCTCACTGTGTACTCCTGGGTGTCCTGGAATTCTAGTGTCCAGGCTGGCCTTGAACTCACAGAGATCCACCTGTCTCTGCCTCATGTGTGCTGGGATTAAAGGTATATACGATACACCTGGCCCCAGCCCACCCCCACACTCCTATACTGGGGAAAGTATCCAGCCAAAGCTTTGTGAGAGATACATTCGGATCTCAGCAGTGCAGACCTTGCCAGGAAAATGGACACTAAGTCTGCTGAAGAAGCTTCATGAAAATGTATGCAAAGGGAGATAGTGGCACAGCAGTGGCCCGAGAAGCTGAGTTCGCCCCAGGACCATGTAGAAAAGCTGGGTGTGGTGGCAGGTGCCAGGAATCCCAGCTCTGGAGAGGCAGGGGCAGGCTGAGCCCTATGGCTTGCTGCCCAGGATGCCTGAGGGTCGCAGAGGTTGACCACTGTCCTCTTAACATGCATGTGTGTACACACACACACACACACACAGAGAGAGAGAGAGAGAGAGAGAGAATATGAACTCACATACATGCACTCACAAAAATAAACATCAACAAAATCCCCTAAGGCCTGACCCGTGTCTGTATTTCCTGAGCTGACAGGAACCTTCTTCTTCTCCTACAGACAGGACTTTTTTCAGTTGTTAGGAGTACGGCGAGGTTCTGAACACACTGCCTCTGCTCCTGTATGGGGGGCTGTATATATCTTGTCAGCCTTCAGTCTTGGGCCCCGGTTCTCACGTAACAAATGCTACTGGTGGGTGACAACAGCCTTCTCAGTCTCTCAGGGGCTGAGTGTGGAAGTGACCGGACCGACCCTCACCCGGAGCATGACTTAGCAGGAGTATTGGGGGGCACTGCTGTGAGTGAGGATACTGTGTTGGCAGTGGGCTTCTGTTTATTGCTGGGCATTGAGCTTGCCAGTTAGTGACAAGGCTTCCCCGTGTCCTCCGAGTCTCTAGAGGCTCTGCTCCCTCTCATGAGTGTCCTCAGCTGGGGACCGAGGCTTTACTAATGAGCCTGTGGGGGAGGGACAGCCAGTGGAGAGGCTCTGAGGGTGTGGCTGTCTGGGGTCTGCAGGGTTGGATGGGGCCTGGGGGTGTCCGGGTCTGAGGGGCTCTCTAGAATCTGCAGGGCTCTGTCTAGCATCTGTAGGGTTCTGTCGGGGGTCTGCAGGGCTTTCTAGGGCTGAGGACACTGCCTTCTGGGCCCATATTCACCAAGGGAAAAACAAACCAGCACTGACTCAGTGGGTGATGGGGAGTACCGTTTGGGATCACCCTGCTTTTCCAGTGCTTCCCATATTGTAAATAATGATTTGAGGGCTGCCTGGCCATCAGGGCCAATGCGTTGACCCTCCTGCTTTTCCTACAGCTCACGGACCGGCTCCTGTACACGGGCAGTGCAGACAGGACTGTCAAGTGCTGGCTGGTTGACACTGGGGAGAGAGTGCGCACGTTCCCGGCACACAGGCACAGTGTGAGCGCCCTCAAGTACCACGCAGGCACCTGTAAGTGAACTGCTGCGACACTGCCCGCGCCACGCCTGTCTGCCCGCCCCACCTTTCTCCCCTGGTTTGTCTCTTCTGCCTCCCACGCCTGCATGGTTTGCTGTCACTGAGCCAGCTACCTTTTCACTTCAGTGGTGTCCAAAGGTGGATGGTTTGTCCGGTAGGGAGCACTGCCTTTTGTCTCCTAGGTCCCAAATGGTCATACCACATTCTCCTTAGCTTCACTGATGGGTGTCCCCTTCCTAATTAGTTCCATAAGCCCCTAGGAGCAGATGTCAGACTCCCACAGAGCTGGGTCTATGAGCATCTTCCCAGTGGAAAATGAACTTGACCTCATGTGGAGATGCTGGGTGAAGAGAAAATGGATAGTTGAGTCCAGTATGTCCTAAGAGTGTGCCTGACATGCAGAAGTTGTTTTTCCTTCCTCCCATGCCCAAGCCTTAGTGTGGGCATGGCTCTGCTCCCTGGTCAGGAACCTCTCTCTTAACTGAGCATAAAGTAGTTAGCCCTCAGATCCTGTCAGGTTCCCCTCTGTGCCCCCTCCCCATGGTGGCAACAGGCACAGCTGTCCTGGAGCCACTGTCCATAGGCCCCTCTCTCGATAACAGAGCTTGGTTCTTGGTTTTTGCCCACAAGGCTACAGAATGGGCTTTGCTCCTGACCCAGTCTATTCAAGATGTCCCACGGCCTCACAGGGCTGGACCCTGCTACTTTGGGGAGTTTGGAGAGAGGCAAGGAAGAAACCTTGGAAACCCAGCAAGGAAACTACCTCCCTGGGGCCCTGTGTACCCCCAAGCTTTCAAAAAAGGAAAATGTGTGCAGACAAAGTGTAAGAAGTAGATACCAAAGACCAGGGAGCAGCCTAGAGGTGCTGACGTTAGCCAGGCCTGACGTGGCAAATACAAGGTGGCCTTGGGGTTTCTCCTGTTGCTATCACAAGCACTTGGACAGAAAGCAACATGGGGGAGGGAAGGGTTTGTCTTACGATTTCAGGTTGCAGGGAGGCCATAGCAGCAGGAGCTTGAGCCAGCTGGTTATACCACATGGGTAGTCAAGAACCGAGAGAAGCGAGTACATCCATGCTGCCTGCCAGCTGCTTCGTTCAGCCCATGAAGTGATGTTCCCACATCAGGGTCTTCCAGCCTCAGTTAACAATCAGGACATGCCCCAGGCTACCCTGACCTAGATAATTCTGCATTGAGACAGGTCGTTCTAGGTTGTGTCAAGTTGACAGTTAAAACTAAGCAAGTAGGATTGCTGGGAACTGACACCCAGGAGCGCTCTCACTAGGGGTGTTGAAGGGTGTGTGGCTCAGCATCCTTACCTCCCAGCTGGAGCTAGTTACCCCACCCTCCCAGCCACTCTGCTTACTAATAGGCCCCTGTTATCTCCTTGCTTTTTGCATTATTTGCTATGTGAACTGCAGGCCTCCTGTTCAGGGTGCAGCTTCTCAGGAAGTCAGTGTAGGATGGTAATTGAAGTAGAATTGGCTACTTGGGGGGGTCCTCATCGCCAGCCTTACCAGTACTGATTAGAAAGGAGTCACTGGCCCCCTCATTGCACCAGGAAGTGTGGTGGCACTTAGCCTTGCCTCAGCAAGGATTCCAGGGGCTCTGGTGTCCTTAATGCCAGAGCACCACCAAGCCAAGTTATGACAGAGGAAAGCCCAAGGAGGGAATCAGATGGGGTCTGGGCTCTGGCTGGCCCTGGGTGTAGGTGATGGGCGGGCAGGTGAGACAGAGCCTGGAAGATGTGGTTGAGTGTCCTAGAAACATGAGGCAGAGAAGTCTGCTTAACTCGGTAGGGTGTAAGAAGGGCACCTGCCCCTGAGGGGTGAGACACCGGTTTCCAGATGTTTCCTACCTGACCCTTAGGGTGTCTCTGTGGGGCAGGTGGCAGGGTGGCAGCCAGGAAGGGTCCAGTGCACTGCTATGTGTCCACAGTGTTCACTGGCAGTGGGGATGCCTGCGCCCGGGCCTTTGATGCCCAGTCGGGAGTGCTGCAGAGGGTGTTCCGGGGCCACACCTTTGTCATCAACTGCCTCCAGGTAGGATTCTCCTTGCCCAGCTCCATACTGTCCCAGGGAAGCAAGGGGCCTCCCACAGGGAGGAGACTCCAATAGCCTGCTCATGGCCAACATCTGTCCCGCCCACAGGTACACGGTCAGGTGCTCTACACTGCATCTCATGATGGTGCTCTGCGCCTCTGGGATGTACGTGGCCTGCAGTCGGTGCCACCGTTGCCACGCAGGCCAGCAGCCAAGCGCAGCCTCTCACGCCTTTTTAGCAACAAAGTGGCCTGTGCAGCGCCGGTGTCCCTGCAGCCAGCCTGAGCCTGGAGAGGGCTGAAACCTGTGTCCTGGCTTGTCTCTATTCTTGGTTTTCCCGAGCACTGTGATGCGGTGGCCTTTCCTGTTGTGAAAGGTGCCTTTCCCCATGCTCTGAACCAACGCTTTGCCACCCGGACTCTTCTGGCCAAGGCAGGGACTTCAGCTGGCCTGCCTCCAGTTCTGACAGCTGAAGCCTGTGCTGCCTGGACTTCCCTGCTGAGGAAATGGGGCTTCTTACAAAAGTCATGTCATATTGGCAAGTTGTGTGCCACAAGGCCCCTCCTGAAGAACTCAAATACATGTCATCAAAGTGCTCTAGTGTCATTCTTTGGTTTCCTTTTGGAGGCCTATTGGCCTGCCACAGCTGTGCCCTCTGGTTGAGAAGAGGGCATTTATACAGCAGTGGCCTTGGGAGAGGCCAGGGAGCAAGAAACCATCTCTTCAACCAGCCTGCTTGACAGGAGGCTCCTGCCTTGGACATTAATGCAGGGGTTTTCTGTCAAGGTGTGGTGTTGAACAGCTGGGTAGGGCCATCTGATCTTGTGCAGAAATGCCAGCACTGTGCCAGATGTGGTGGCGGTACTGGACACAGCAGCGGGGGCTGGAGAGATGGCTCAACAGTTAAGAGCACACACAGCTCTTCCAGAGGACCAGAGCTTGGCTCCCAGCACTCGTGTTGGGTGATAAAATGCCCTCTCCTGGCCTCTATGGCACTTGCACCCACATTGCACATAGCTAAGCAGAACAGATACATATACAATTCAAAAGTAAAAATAAACTTTTATCTATTCACTTATTTATTTGAGACAGGGCTTCTCTAGACCAGACTATCCTTGATCAGCCTGCCTCTGCCTCTCTGGTGCTAGGATAAAAGGTATGTACTGACAACCGCTTGTTGCCTGCTCCCCTGCCTTTTTTATTTAAACTGTTGTTATCTCTGTTAGAGAGGACCCTGCCAGAAGGGATGGTATAGGAAGCATGGGTCCCAGCTGGGAGCCTCCCTCAGTGTGGTTGGTGTTGGTGACAGGTGGCTGTGTGTGTTTTTTAAGGAAAATACTATTTTGCAAAGTGTTCTTGGGAAAAACACTAGAATATGTTGCATTGACCCAGAATAACCAATTGGGTTTCTACTTCAAAAGCATAGTGACCTTGGCTCGGTGTTGAGGACATGAGGATGTCCTATACTCTTTCCCTAACACCTGTGGACTACTTACTTATGTATGGTACTGTTGAACACTGAGCCAGAGGTACCCTCTGTCACACCATGGCAGGGCTGTAGTTCAGTGGTAGAGTGCTTGCTTAGCCTTTTGAGAGGAAGGAAGCAGGTGTCTATGACACATGTTCAGCTGGCCAGGAGGAGGAGGAATAGAACTTCCTACCAGACACCTGGCCAGGAGAACAAACAGGTATGGATGGCAGTTTTACCAACACAAGACAATTTCAATGACTTCAGGCTGACTCCATCCCCCATAAGCATGCTCCATGCCTGCCCTGGTCTTCTAACCTCTGGGTGTTCTGCCACCTCCAGGCAAGTCCCCACCTGGTTTTGGGGCTCTGAGAAGTCTCAGCAGGCTCTTCTTGTCCCAACACACTCTTAGTGCACTCAGAACCATCTCCATCCCTCCAACTCAGTCATTCACCTGCCTCTTCTTCCTATCCTGTCCATAACAGAACATTCTGGAATATTCTGACACAAACACCCCCCTTCCACCCCGCCTTCAGCTCTCCCCTATGGCCATACCCTATCCAGGCAAGGGCATCTTGCTGGCTCTGCTTGTCTATGGCCCACTCCCACACTGCATCTCTGCAGCAGACACACGCAGTTAGGGCTGCTGGAATGGTGGTGATGCCCTGGCTTTGGGTGTTCTCCAGCAACATTTAGACAGCAGGGAATCCAAAAGCACGGCTGGCACCACAGCCAGGACTGTGTCTCGTGAAGATAACTTTCTTGCACAAATAAACCTGTCTAAGGATCAGAGAATGGAGCTTGCCACTAGCTAACCACAGAGGTCTGGGGGTCTGTACAGACAGGAGGTGACATAGCTAGGCAAAAACAGGATATAAGCAGGGAGAAACAGGAAATCGCTCTCTGCTGAGATGCTTCGGAGGCAAGGTGTGCTGTGGCTTGCTCCTTCTCTCTGATCTCTTACCATTTCCCTCTATATCTGACTCTGGCCTTATATTATCTAGACCAATTAAGAACTCCTTTTAGAGTGTGGTTAAGGCAACCTGCCCTGCCCTGCCCTGCCCTGCCCTTGTAAAGACACACACTCTGGTGGCCTGCTTCACAGCCCCATGCTGGGACTTGTCCCTTCCCGGTCATAGCTGAATTTCGCTGATGCTGGAGGTGTAACCCACGCAGGCCAGACAAGGGCTCTGCTGCACAGCCACACCCCACTCTCTAGGCTGCTTTTGAGGGTAACACTCCACTCAGTCCCAACACACAGAATGGAGTGAAAATGTGAACAACTGGGAAGTGACTCACTGCAGCTAGGCCAGACACATTCAATTGCATTCTCCACGTTTATTCCCATCAGCATTGTCTGCTTCCAAAGGATAGCACGGGGCTAACAAGATGACATCAGGGAGTGGGGCTTGCCATCAAGCCAGACAACCCTGGTACCCACGTGGTGGAAAGAGGGAACAGGGAACCAATTACCACGTTTTCTTCTGAACATCCAGACTTGTCCTATGGCATGTTTTCCCCATCCTTCACACAAATAAATATGTATAATTTTTTTTTTTTTTTTGGTTTGGTTTTATGAGACAGGGTTCTCTGTATTGCTTTGGAGCCTGACCTGGAACTTGCTCTGTAGACCAGGCTGGCCTCAAACACAGAGATCTGCCTGCCTCTGCCTCCCAAGTGCTAGGACTAAAGGTGTGCACCACCAAAGCCCAGCAAATATGAATAATTAAAAAAAAAAAAAGCAAAAAGCAATTCTACTTGCCCAGTCTAGTCTGCTATCAAGACTTCCGGTGAAATTAGAGGATCTCAGGAACACAGTGGCACTTGACCCACGGCACCACATCTGGCTGCTGCCATGCCCTAGGTGCCAGAAGGCTACCCATCTGGTCTATACCCAGAAGAACCAACCAAAGTCTGACAGGCCCCTTTAGGAAGGCACAGTCCTGTGATCCAGCTATAGAAAAACTCAACAACAGACTTGAGAAAGCAACATCTCAATCTCAGAGGTCTCATGGCTATCAGTGAGTTTTCTATGACAGCAGTCTAGAAATGTTGATTAAAAATAAGTTGCTTTGGTTAGCATTTAAAACTTCCATTTAATAAAAGACTTTCACTCTGTATGAGGAATTGAGAATTCATAGAAACTCTATTCGCAATCTTGAATTTTAAGTACAGATTTTACTGATCTAAGAGCACAAAACACTGACATTTCAAGATAAGGTGTTTGCTACCATTTGCTATGGGATTGTGGCCTATCTCATTGTGTCCACAGCACTTGGAATGAAGAATCAAGGGGTGAGCAGGGTGAGCAAGGGCTGAGGTAAGCTTGCACAGCAGAGGCAGTTTCAACAGCAGGGGAGGAGGAAAGGAGCACTGGAGGGAGGGCTGGCTGAGAGGAGGGCAGGGGACAGACTCCCCATTCCTCTGTGGACCTCCCTGCTTCCCAGACCTAGATGGAAAACTAACAGGGCAGAGTCAGGGATGCAGACCTGGAGGCAGAAGGTGAACAGCAGACCCAGGGAATTAATTCCCTTTCCTCCACTGTCCTCACCCCAACAAAGCCTCTCTTCACTATATGCTGGGTCCCTATACCTGAGGAAGAAGCCTACATGGAGCAAAATCGTTGACAAGCAAGAGGAACGCAAAGAAGAGCTGCATTCGACCATTCACAGCGACAGAATTTATAGGCAGAAATGTAGCACTTATTTCTGTTCAGTTGTTCTTTGCGGCAGACCTTATACTTTCTACGTAGGACAAGTACTCCGCAATAATGACTTCTTCATCCTCCAGAGTGGAGTCCAGGTAGTCCTCCTCATGCTCCGGAATGTCCTCCAGGATTTCATTCACAGCCTCTGTCTCCATGTCTTCGTCCGTTGAGGCACTGGAAGAGGTTCCTGCGTGAAAACACCAGAGAGATAAGCAGCTCACAGGAGAAGTGCCCTAACTGTACCTTTGGTGGCCACCCTGTCCTGGCAGAACTCTAGGGATGCCTCCTCAGCCTCCAGGTTAACCTCTGCCTTAGGCTCACAGCTGCCCTTAGTACAAACTCGGCAGAGTGCAGCCATCAGTGAGGCATCCAGACCTCAGACTTACCTGCAGAGTCGGATGGGGATGTGGATGGTGTGGAGGAGGAGTCCTCTCCTGAGAACTGCAGGTCGGGAGGAAGGCTCCCTCCATGGTGCGCAAGGGTCTGAGCTGCCAGCTGGACATTGCCTCCAAACACCCTTAGTGCGGCTTCAGCCACCGCTGTGTCAAAACCCATGTACACCAGCTGGGGGGAGATCACACCATTAGGACTGTGACCATGAGCTCAGCTCATACTGCCACGTGGGCCACCACTTCATGATCTTGTCACCTCACAGCACAGCTAAGACACTTTGCTTCCTGGATAAGTGTAAAGAATGCTGTATGCATCCTTTTGCCTTTCTGACAAGTCTCTTTTCAGTCCCAGAAGACACCAGGCCATGCAGAAAGGGCTCTGAAGACCTGGGTTCAACAGGTGCTAGGCACTCACCTCAGGACTGGCCACCCTGGGGTGAAAGCTAGTATCATCAAAATCTGTGAGTACCATAAGTAAAGCAGCCACGATATGTGCAGCAGGCTAAAGTGTGGTATCAAGTGTGGATGAGGTCTCGTGAGGCACAAGGTAGGCTGAGTTTCATGGGACACAGTGACAACCCTTAGGACACTGGCAGAGAAATAGGATTGATGTAAACAGCAGAACATGGGAAAGGGGCAACTGAGAATGAGGGCAATGGGCACCTCCTGCTGTAGTTCATCTTCCTTTCAGGGGACAGCATCTCATTATGTAGTCCTGGCCTGGAACTCACTCTGTAGACCAGGCTGGCCTTGAACTCAAAGATCACCTGCCTCCAGGTGCTGGGACTAAAGGTGTGCTCCACCATGCCCATCCACTTTCCCTTCTACAGAAGCACCCCTCACTCAGAGCCCTCTTACCACATCCACCCCACTATACATATCTGAGGTTCTCCTAGGGTCGGCAGGCCCTGCTTAAAAATAAAGCCTAAAAGCAGACACATGTCACCTTGTCACCATCCTACTCAACCCAGCCAGCACTGCCCAACGTGAGATGCGACGCCTGTCACTTACTTGG